ATTTCTCATTCCACAATCTAACTAAGTTTGCTTTTTAAATGACATTGTACGGAATGCATCTACAATTTTCTAAAAAGTTGTTTTCAATCCAACATGAAAAGCATACAAAATATAATGAATTAATTAAAATTTGCATTGTCTCTTAAATGTGTACAATAACAGTTGAACGTATGACAACCCATTATTGGAATTATTTTTTCTTTCATGAATATTGTGAATTATTTACCACCACAATATTAAGTACAAAACATCATTTAATAGAAGGTAATTTTACTTTTAGGTAGAGGGTAATTTGGTCATTCAATTTTCAAAGAACATTTTAATAAACTAACTTCACTTAAAAGTGTTCATGCTTATAATATAGTATGATTACTAGTGTGCTCGTATTGTTTTATTCTTCATTTCTACAACTTACTTGATACTAGTGCTGCTTAGGCCAACTTACTATCTTTGTTGTTGATACTTTTCTTTTTGCAGTATTTTCGACATAGCTCCTTTACTGTTATATTCCTTTTACTAGTACTTCTGTATTATTTTTTTAGTTCTTTTACTAGCACTACCTTATTATTTTTGTCGGCACTTTCGACATAGTTTCTTTTCTTCTTTCTTAAACTGTTTTAGAATCACTTTCTTAGAACTGATGGTTTATCGGAAACAATATTTCTACCTTGCGTACACTCTACCCCTTCCAGACCCTACTTGTTTGATTTCATTGGGCATATATGTTGTTGTTGATTGTTGCATACATTATGCACATAATATGATCAATTACCACGATTTATTAGAGCTAATAGCCCCTTCATGTAAATCCTTTTTCATACACTACTATAGAAAAGATCATTTATTGCCGTACTTGATTTCTATATCTACGATAATATTCAAAAGATTATCGATGTTTAAAAGTTTGATACGAGCAATGTAAGTTTGGAATGTCAAAAATGAAAACGCTACCGTTGAAATTATACCACAAATGACGAATTTCAATTCAAATGATGCACCAAAGATGGACATGCACTGAAGCCTGTTGTAGTTACAAGAAACAAATACGACGACTAACTTGAAACGATTATCTTTTTGTACTTTTCCCTATCCACAATTCCGCATAAATAAGTTAGGACAATTATACACATGATGCAATTACTTCACGTAAGATTAGTTTCCCCATCTTTTTTAACCGTCATATGGCTAAGATAACAGTATGTATTTGAAAGATCTGACTCGATGTTTTCCCTTTGCGCGAGACTATATCTCAGAATGCCACAGGCAGTTATAACGATATTGAATTAACCTATACTAGTGGTGGCAAAATGGATAAAAAGAATAATTATTCACCCATATTATTTACTAAAAATTGGGTGGATAATGAACTTTTAAAAATGAGTCAAATATGAATAAGATCCATATTATTCACTTAAAAAATAAATATATAATGGATAACCAATAAGATTAATTTTACATTTGCAAAGACTCAAATTGGGGGTTCCTCAAATTTGAGAGACTAAAAATTCTCCCAAAAGTGATCGCATTCAAGAAACCATGGATAATATGAATGCCCATATTATCTAGGGGTTAACCTATTTTTAATCCATATTAAATATGGTAGGATCGAATATTTTATCTGTTTTTGCAGTACCCATTATGACCCTTCTATATCCGACCCGACCCACCGGTTTGCCACACTTATGCTATACTCGTCATAGTATCTTCACATTTAGATGTGCTATACACTACTAGAAATACAGTCTTTTCCCACGGAAGAACCAGTGGGAAATCTGTGTGAAATTTGAATATTCCTACGACATTCCCAGGGGAGATGCTTAGTGAAAAAATGGCTGGTGGAAAAATAATTTCCCAGGATATTCGTGGGTAATTCCCAGGAAGTTTCCCACAGAAGGTTTGGTGGGGTCACATAGTGTATTTTTGTAACGACCCGACCGGTCGTTTTTCTTTCTAGAACCCTATTCCCCTAAATAAGACTACCCATATGTACTTTTACTACTTTATGACTTGCGGGGATGGTTAGTTCGGGATTTGGAAGGGTTCGGGTCGAAATCGGAACACTTGGTTCCTTATGTTGGCTTAAATGACTAAGTTTGACTTCGGTCAATATTTTTAATAAACGACCTCGGAATCGGGATTTGACGGTTCCAATAGGTTCGTATGATGATTTCGGACTTGGACGTATGTTCGGATCGGGTTTTGAATGACTTAGGAGCATTTTGGCGCCTAATAGTGAAAGTTGATTCTTGAAGGTTTTAAAAGTTCTTTAAATTTAGTTAGGATCGGGTTTTGATGATATCGAGGCCCAAATAAAATTTTGAGATCGAGAATAGTTCCGTAATATCATTTAAGACTTGCACACAAAATTTGGTATCATTCTGAGTGGTTTAAGTACGTTTCGACGCATTGGAAGTAAATTGAAGAACTTGAAGTTCTTAAGTTTGATTCAATTAGTTTTGGGGTGTGATTCTTAGTTTTAAGGTTGTTTCGGGCATTCCGAAAGTTCGAGCGAGTCCATTTTATGATTCTAAACTTGTTGCTATGTTCGGACGGGGCCTCGGGGGCCCCGAGCGTCGATCGGACGAGGCTCAGACCAAGGTGGGAGCATGGAGCCACAACTAAAGCTCCAAGATCTGTCATAATCGCACCTGCGCTTGGCCAGCCGCAGTTGCGGGCTCACAGGTGCGAGCCACGAGCCGCAGAAGCGAGAGATCAAGGGCAGCCCAGGAACCGCATATGCGGAAGATTGGGCGCACCTGCGCGACTGCAGGTGCGAGAGCTTTGGTGGCAGTAGCAACTAGACCCGCAGAAGCGGCCCCTTTTGTCCGCAGATGCGGAGACTGGCCAGGTGAGGGAAAAGCGCACCTGCGAGGCATTTGCCGTAGGTGCGAGACCGCAGATGTGGCCAAGGCACCCCAGGTGCGAAAGTCGCTGGGCAGTGAGGGTTTATTTAATACGGACTTAGGCCATTTTTATAACATTTTGTCTCACTCTTGGGCGATTTGAGAGTTTTGAAGGAGGGGATTTCAACCAAGCTTTGTGAGGTAAGTAATTTCTACTTAATGTGAGTTTAATACATAGATTATGGATAGATCTTAACATGAAAATTTATAAAAATTATGGGTTAGATGAAAAACTTAGGTTTTGATTAAAATGGGATTTTACCACAAAAATGATTATGGAACTTAGTAAAAATCATATATTTATGTTCCTGAGGTTATGGGTAACAACTTTCTTCGAAAATTTTCGGAATTCGGTCACATGGGCCCGAGGGTGAATTTTAGAAATCCTGCATTTAGGGTTGGGAAATTGCTTTAATAGCGGGGGGTTTGAACTTTTGAGCATAAACTAATTGATTTATATAATGTTAGACTAGTTTCGAGTCGTTTGGTACCAAATTTGGAGGTTTGAGCATGCTCTTGAATCGGAAAGTGGGTTTTGAGACGAGGTAAGTCTCCTTTCTAACCTTGTAAGAGGAAAATTTCCCTATATGCAAATTAACTAATATATGTGATTATTTGCGGGGGGGCTACGTACGTACGAAGTGACGAGAGTCCGTGAGTAGCTACTACTTATGCTAAAGTTCGGGTAGTCTAGGACCCCATTATGCCATACTTGAAATAATTGTGCCTTTACTTGTCAATTAAATTGCTTAAATCATAATTTCCATAATTGTAAGAAGATCCCAAAGGGATAAGTTTCACTTAATTGAGGGTATGGATAGAATACTTGACTGTCATTGAAAAACTTGTATTTCTTTAAGTATTTTTTATTAGTGGAGCGGGCCGAGCGCCTCGGCAAATTAAATAGATGTATCTATAGTTTGCGTTGTTCGACCCTCGGTAGTGCACAGTTTAAATATCGTTATGTTGGTTCGGGCCGTACGTCCTCGGCATTATTTGCGCATGAATATTTTTGGATTCTATACTCATAACTGATATTGCTCCAATGTTTAAATGGAAGATAAATTTGGGATTTATAATTGTGAAAAGGGGTATTTTCCATCACTTACTGTTGAGTTTTAGTATATTTATTGTAATCTATGCTCAGTTGTAATTTTAAATTCATTATTATTAGCCTTAGTAAGTGCCAAGTCGACCCCTCATCACTACTTGTTCGAGATTAGTGGGACACTTACCGGGTACATATTGTTTTATATACTCACGCTACACTTCTGCACTTAACTGTGTAGGATCTGTCTGGATATCCATCCGGCGTGCATTCTTGATCTGGGTTCGAGAGTCCACGGTGAGCTGCCCTCCTGAGCCGTTCAACAGCATGCCGGAGTCCCCTTTTTATCTTGTTCCTGTCTATTCCTTTTCAAGCAGTAGGATAGATATCTTTTGTATATTCTACTAAGTTGCCCATATACTTGTGACACTAGATCTTGGCACGTAATAGTAGACTTGTGATTTTGGGTTTTGTTCTTATGGTTATTAATGTTTCTCGTTGTTTTCATTTAATAATTTAAATCGATTTTCATTAAATCTTTTAAGTAAAATAAAAAGATCACTGCGTGGGAAAAATCGTTAAAATGGGACATCATTAGGTTATTCATTATTGGCTTAACTAGCAACGGTGCTGGACGCCATCACGGCCTGATATGGAATTGGGTCGTGACAATTTTTTGACAACCGTCGTGGGAAAAGGAAGAAAATATAATAATTTAATTTTCTTAAGTTTCCCACCGAATCTGTGGAAAGTATTAAAAATAATTTAGTTATTTTTTTTATTTTACCCATGGAAGCAGTGGAAAATATGCATAACCTAGAAATAAATATATGAACATTCCCATGAATATCAGTGGGAAATATTAAAATTCTTAAAAAAATATGGACAAAATTCCCACGGAGTTGGTGGGAAATCCGTGGGAAATGTGAAAAATAGTTTCATGGCCAAATCTGTTTTTAGAACTACAATACGTGCCAAACAGAAAGTACAACCACCAATACAAGACTAAATACAATTAAGCATTCAAATACCAAATTCAACATTCAATTCAATTCATTTCATAAACAACATCTAATTCAATCCATTTCATAAACAAAATCCAACAAAAACGCAAAACATCCAGCATTCAATATTCAACATCCAAGTACCATCGAAGACAAACTAAGAAAAGAAACTACTCCTTAGTTATCATCAGATGTTGCTGGAGAACGGGGCACAGAAGATGCACCAGATGCTAAGAGGGAGTTTATCTAAGACTTGAGGCATTTAATATCACTAGAGACAAGTCTTAATGCATCGTCCTTTCGCCTCTTTTCTTCCTCCCTTCGCCTTTCCTCTTCCTCTCTTCGCCTATCTTCTTCCTCCCTCCGCTTTGCCTCTTCTTCCCTTGCAGCCCTTTCTTGAAGATATAACTCCGTAATCATCGCTACCTTCCTATTCAATTGCTCAAACTCATCCAGATCAATCGAGCAATGTAAGGAAGAATAAGAATCAGATGATCCAGAAGTACGACGGCCGAGACTAAACTCTGATCCAAGGCCGTAGACCCCCTTATGCACGTCACCGGCTGCCTTAATCCACATGTCCATGATCTCCTCTTGAGATGGTTGGATTGGCGTACCTTGATCATCAATCGGCTGACTTTGAATGAACTTCTCCAAGCTTCGTTTGAAATTATCCTGTAAAAAATTTATAATTATTATAAAAGTAAATTCTATTAAAGAAAATTTATGCAAATAAGTATCTTTATTTCTTAATCTTTAAAGTGAAACACACGGAAAGATAAAAAACTTAGCAGTCTAGATGGACTTAATCACTTTAAAGTATCTTTTTTTCTCAAACTGGTATAGAAGAAGAAAGTTAAAAACAGAATGTAATGAAATGAAATTTAGATAAACTAAGAGGAACTAAAAGGAAAACAAGATAATGATAGAAGAAGAAAGTTAAAAACAGAATGTAATGAAATGAAATTTAGATAAACTAAGAGGAACTAAAAGGAAAACAAGATAATGATAGAAGAAGAAAGTTAAAAACCATAAAAGTTCGGAATGATGGGTACAACAACCTTGACATCCAAGAATCAAAACAATGTCTTCAAAGCCAAAACTCGGTGATGTAACACCTACTTACTCAACCTACCAAAATCGCAAAACTGAAAAATTCTTAGTAATCAATACACACGACACAAGTAACAACATTTTTGGTTCAAAAGTCAGTTTTTTTTTAATATTGTGCTCAATCAAACACTTTCACAACAAATAAAATGGAAGGATATTAATTGTTTTTCAGAAAATAAATCAAATGGTTCGAAAGACTTCAAGAAAACATCAAGGTAATTATGGTGTTGCTAGTTCAACAAGATCGCCTTTATACATTTGGGCACGTTTAGTTGCTGATAAGATGGATATCTATCGATTAGTAAATAAAGGAAGTATAAATGAGATTATAACACAATTATACTGCAATATATTACTGGCAATAGTAAATGATCAGAACCATACAAAATGAGCAAAGTGTATGATGAATCAGTTAGAGGACCACCTTACAATTGAACTGATAGACCTTTAGCAGAATATTAACACCAAAATCCAAACATTGCATTATAGTAAAGCTGTAAGGTAATCTAGAAGTGTGAGACCTTAAATGCCCACTCCCCTTTCACTGGATCATAAGAAACAAATTTCATGAAAAACAACTGAGAAGCTTCAAGTTATGAATAATTATGTTCAATGAACCTAAACAAGAATGCTTCATATTTCAATTACATAAGACACAAAAAGCACATGAAAATAACTTTTCACGAAAGAGAAGACTAATTCCATGAAAAAGAACAGGACTTATTTAAGTTGAAATGAATATATTTTAAACTAGTATGTGGAGGGAGAATATTGTATGTAGTTCTACTCCACTAAAGTGCATTTCGTTCAAAAATCAAGCTCGGTTCAACTTTATATTCCTTCTGCTCTATTCAAGCCAATCAAACAGTCTTACAAACAAACTAGGAATTCTCTAGTAACTAGTAATTAAACTAGTAAAGCAAAAACAGTCCCAACAAATTATACACAAAAATGAACACACGATCATATACAGGGGTAAAAGGAAGAGTCAAAATTTAGGAACAATCACTTGATATACATATGTGCATGGATAGATAAAAGTATTACACTAAACCTGTACAAAGTTTTTATTACCTTTCTTGCCGATGTAGCCACGCTTGCTATTGCCCTTCTTGGTAGAACGTCCGACGCTGCAATTCCAAATACCCATATAAAAAAATAGATCTGAAAAATAGACCAAACAAACAAGAATAAACTAACCCAGTATTGTTTTTTCACAAATTAATTATTTCTAAGACGAAACAAATAAAGACTTAAGTAACAACATTAATTTTTTAAACCTAGGGTTTGAAACATTATAACATCCCTAAGTTTCGAAGTACTTTGGGGAAATCAAAAAACAAAAAAGGAGAGGGTGCGTGTGTGTGTGTGTGAGAGAGAGAGAGAGAGAGGTGGAATTACCTGAAAATGGAGTGAAGTGAGAACTCGTCTGTGGAGTGGGAGAGACAGAGGGGGAAAATACGATGTGAATAGACTGAGGAAAAATTTAAATGTTATGTGAATAGTAATAAAAAATTTTCACTACTACCCTCGAAAAGCTCTGTGGGAAATCTCTTTCATAATTATAAGAAAATTTTAAAAATAAAAAAAATTCATTCACATTGAGTCTATGGGAATATTTAAAAATATTTTTTATTTATTGTTTAAGTTCCCAATGTCTTCCCTAGGAATTATTTTCAGATTTATATAATTATTATTTTAATAACTTTTTACAGAGAATCAGAGGGAACTAAATTACGCATATTTTTGCGCCAAAGCGTTCCCACAGATAGTCAATGGCAAATGTTATTATTTTTTCTAGGAAACGTTTTTTAATGTTTCGATTGAATTTCGGTGGGAATTGCCATTGACAATTTTTCCGTGAAAACGTTTCGTGGGAAAATATTATGTTTCTAGTAGTGAGCACTCTTAATTGACTAGAGAAACGTCATGTGTGTTTTGAATTGTACAATTAAGTTTATTTATTAAGCATGAGATCGAATGATATTTTTGATACTAGAGCGGTATGGACACTTTTATCTCAACCTTTTTGTTTTGTACTATTTAGTTTTTTTTGTTTTTTTGTTTATTAAACCAAATACCCAGGATTTAAACCCTGTGATATTGGAGGGTTTGGCATGACCCCCTACCTTATTTATTCATAGCAAAATAGCACAAAAAGGGAGACATAAATCAAAACCTTTCGAACATACAATTGAAGAGGAGCTACTATATGTCACGACTCAAAATCAATTGGTGTGATGGAGCCTATCGTGGAACTAGGCCAGCCTCAACTCAACAACCCAACACCAATAACAATAAGTTTTAAAACATTAACGAAAGCATTTAACATTTAAGAAAAACTGTTTAAAACATATGTAAATCCCAAAGTGATAAAATCCAGCCCAAAACTAGGGTGTCACTGAGTACATGAGCGTCTAGATCAGAAATACAGTCTACTACATTGTCTAGAGATATAAACTGAAAGTACAACAAAGATAAAGAAGGAGAGTCAAGGCCCGCGAACGATGTACAGCTACCTTGATAGTCTCCAAAACTCTAGAATCCTCAATCAACAACCGCTGCTACGACCGGTATCGCCTGGATCTGCACACGAGGTGCAGGGAGTAACGTGAGTATACCAACTCAGTAAGTAACAAGTTCAAACTTTGGACTGAAAGGTAGTGACGAACTCAACCTCAACAGGTATAACATAAATAAATGTGCAGAAACGTAGGCATGCTTTCAAGTAAAATATACAACTCAAACAATGAAGGAAATACATATCTGAACAGTGTAAGGTATACAACTTAGCTATCTTTACATGCCAATGCACAGACAATATGAAATGCACCATGTGCTCCACTCTCAAGTATCCACCCATTCGGTACTGTATATGGCCATCCGGCCCAGGTAAATCCACCCCGGAACATATACAACACTGAGTATAAGTCACCAGTACCTAGGAAAAAGGCAATCCAACCCTGTGGAGAAATCCATCTCCAGATATCAAGTACTTCGGACAAATCCCTGTCGAGGGTTATCCATCCCTCAATAATATCATACGCGCTCACTGGGGGTGTGTTACAGACTCCGGAGGGGATTCTACAGCCCAAGCGCTATCATAATCATCAATATAACCATTGCGGCGTGTAGCCTGATCCCATAACTATCACTCATAACCAGGCACTCGGTCTCACTTAGTCATCAACCTCTCCAGTCTCACCACGGGCTCATAATGTCATGAAAACAACCTGGAACAATGATATGATGAATCAATAAATAACTGAGACCGAGATACGATATAAAAATATATGATCATGACTGAGTATGAAATAGTAAATGAAACTAGTAAGATGACAGCAAGGAACGACCGCTGAGGGTCCAACCAATACCGGCACAAAGCCTAAACATGATATCTAGCATGATTTACAGCTCAATTACTTTATCACATGTTGAAAGCATGGATATTAACAGAATAGAGTCACTAAACGGTGCCACGGAATCACCCAGTCCACAATTCCCATGGTGCATGCTCGCACGCCCGTCACTTGGCATGTGCGTCACCTCAATACCAATCACATAACACATAATTTGGGG